ATTAAAATGAATGTAGCTTTTATTCCTGTGGATTGAATTCTCCATGAATAGAAGCTAAAATAGTGCTACCACTGGCATCCCTATGGGATGCTAGACTTATTCAGGAATCACCCCTCCCCATTTCTTTAAACTTGTTCACTTATAAATGGCATAATACAGGGTATTTTTGTTTCTTTTTTCTTTTTTTTTGTAACTTGGAACATACACTCAATAATGATATTTTGTTGTTGTTAAGTTTCCTAGTCCAATACCATGAAAAGAACATAGATTTAAGGCTCAAAGAAGTGTTTGAAGTCTTTGAGTCTAGGCTTCTCATCTCCCAAATGAGAAACTGAAGTCTAAATATGCTAACTTGTCAAGATCACACAGTTATTACCTTCTCTGATTCCAAATCCAGCATCCTTTCCCTTGGTATGCTAAATGTCAATCAATCTAAATTTTAATCGATCTCTGGTAGGGATTGTAGCAATCTGAGTTCTGAGACCTGGTAGCAGAGGAATATTTGGTTCAAGAAGAGGAGGGCCATAGGGTCATAGCATCAGAGTTCTAGACTTGGAAGGAGCCTAAGAGGTCATTCAGTCCAACCCCCTCATTTTGACAATGAAGAAACTGAGCCCTGTGGAAATAAAGTGAATTTCCCAAGGTCACACAAAATCCAAAGCATCGGAGAGAGATTTGAATTCAGTGACCCTGACTCTAGTGACAGTATTCGTCTCACTCTAATACCTCACCTCCTGACTTACTATGGATACATAGCCTGTTTCAGTCACATTATGATACAGATCATCTTTTTTGTTGTCAGTGAGTCCTGAAAGAGGGACTTACTTGACAAAGGAGGAAGAGGTCTTGTTTTTTCCTCTCTGAGTTCAGATCTGTTACTAGACCCCCAAAACCTGAAAAGTAGGTGTTGTAAGTGTTACCATATTTATTTTACAGCATATGATCCCAAATGAGTAGTCAAGTTACTTCCTCAGAGTTATATAGTGAATAGATGTTAATGGTTTGGAATGGTAGGTTTGGAATGAAAGTCTTTCATACTAAGCCTCTCTACCACTCAGTATATTTCAAGTTCCACATAACACTCCAGCACCCATAACTCCATCAAATCTCTCATTTATTCAGGGTAATCATGTACTTCTAAATTGTAGAAGTTAATTCAGTTCAATTAAAGCTAATCTGATTTGATTCATTTCACTCAGTGAGTATTATATATCTATTAAGAAGAAAAGAAAGAAGGGATGAAGGAAGGAAGGAGGGAGGGATAAAGAAATGGAGGACATAGGGAAGAAAGGAATGAAGGGAAGGAGGGAGGAAAATAAGGAGGAATGAAGGGAGGGAGAAAAAGAAGGAGGGAAGAAGAGATGGCCACTTTGTCTTTGGTGTCCCAGTGCTTGAGAGATGCTTTATGGTGTGATGGCTACAACACCAGTCTCAGAACCAAGAAGAATTGTGTTCAAGACTGACCTGTAATAAATAATGGCTGTGTGACCCTGGGCAGGTCACCTAACCACTTATTACTTAAGGAAAATCTCTAAACCTAAAAATGACAGAGAATATATAAGGCTACATTGTAAAAATGTGCCTTCTCATTTGAATGCCCATAGAAATGAAATCACAGGCTCATTCTGCTATTTCTATCCCTATTCCTATTGTTTAGTATAATGCCTTGAACATAATAGAGGCATAAGAACAATAACAACAAAAATATTTTGGTTTGTTTACTTGGAAAAGCATGACATAGTTGATAGACACATGAATACGGAATCCAAAGGCATTTGTTAGAACCCTAGATCATCTGAATACTATTTGTCTACTTTACTATGTGAAACTTCAGTTTTCTCATCGGTAAAATAGATGCTTGTATTAGATGCTGCTTAAGGCATCTTAGTGTTGGAGAGACCTGACTTAGAATCTTAGCTATAATATTTACTAGCTATTTGGTCTTGAGAAATAATTTCTTTTTCCAGAGACTCAGTTTCCTTATTCTTTACACTGGAGATAATCTTACTACCTCACATGGTTTTCTAAGAGGAAAGTGGTTCATAGTCCTTAAAACACTACAGAGATGTGGTCTGTAACTCCTATCACAAGCTGTCCTAACCCGAAAAAGCCTACATTTTAGCACTGTCTCCCTATACTGACACGAGAAAGGAATTCTCCTATATTTGCAAATGTCCTCCTAAAGATGGTTTTCCTCCTACTCCCTGGACGTTTCCAAACTCTCATTTGCTGTTTATTCACATTGGAAGTGCTGGTCTATCAATCTGACCATACAACAGTATTTAAGGACTGCCATTTGCTGCTCAGTCTTAGACCTGGAATATAGTCATTGGTGCAGTTGCCAGTAGAAATGCAGAAGGGTGACTCGCTGCATTACACTATGTGCTTCTCCTAACTCAGCAAGCCAGAGTAAAAGCTGAAGCCCATTGTAACTTTCACTAACAGACTTCACTTTGCCAGCCTAGCAATATTTAATATATTCCTAGGATATTGCAGGAGTTATTTGAAGGGGACCATAGAAGAAGAGCACTTATGGTTCGAATTTTCCAAAAAAGACTTGATGTGCATTATGAATTCATGTTATGAAGAAGTCAATGTTACTAATTATTTTTGTTTGAAGGGAAACAAAATCAGTCTGAAGTATCATAACTGTACCTATTCTCGTTCCCTTTTAAATGTTATATTAAACATTAGCACACACTCACACACAAAAGAAAAACTAAAATACAAAGTTAATGCTGTTTTGAAGTGAGAAAGAACATTTAAATTGAGTTGCCATCTGCTTGCCTCTAGTGAATGCCCAGGTGCATATAAAAGTTAGATTTAAAAAAATCTCCATAATAGAGAGCTAAACAGATGTCCTGGTCAGTGAAGTCTCCCTCAATAAAATGGGCTGTGATAAGCCAAACAAACTTATGATATTCCAGTGATTATTTGCCAGTGGGTTAATGACAGCATTAAACAGATGACAACAACATTTCATAATGTTCTGTAGGTAGCTCGAAGCTTGAGAGTTTGTTTTGTAAAACAAAGCCTGAGAGTTTGCCTACCATTATCATTACAAAGATGTCATTCTCATTTTCCAAACTACTCCTCATTTAATCAGTGACTTTCAAGAAAGTAGATTTACAGCTTCAGTATCTCAGTGTTAGAAGGAACTTCAGAGACTGTATCATTCAACCCATGCTCAAACAGTAATCCTCTCTCTATCACATGTTCCTACCTTTGTATGAAGAAACAGGGAGATAAACAGAGATTTGTTTCTTCATTATAAACATATGGAAAACATATAGAGTAGAAAGTAAGTGGAGGATGTAAATCTCCCACAGAGGCTTTGCAGTTGGAAATGGATAAGAATCTTTTAAGAGGGGTAGATGTGGGAGGGTTGTTTCTTACTAGCTGGAGGGAATGCCTGTATTGATGAAAATCCATTGAAGATGTGGCTATTTGTCTTCTAAAATGTTCTGTGATGTCTGTTTTTTTGGCTACTGCTTCTTTCAAAGAAGCTATCTGAGGCAGAAATGAGTTCATTTACTTAAAAAGGTCAAGTGTGTTTTATTAAAAAAAAAGATGATTATTGTTTTTAATTCAATTTTTTGCACTATTGCTTTTATTAAAGAGGTATAATTGCCCCAGTCACAACCTGATCAATTCTTGAAGAGGATAGCTTTATTTTTTAATATTAAACTATTTTACTGTTTTTAATATAAATTGTTTTTATTAATTTATTTTTAGTTTTCAACATTTACTTTCATAAGCTTTTGAGTTTTAAATTTTCTCCCTCTCCTTCCCCATCTCCCTCCCCTGCAATCTGATATAGGCTCTACATATACATTTCTATTAAACATATTTTTACATTAGTCATGTTGTAAAGAAGAATTAGAACCAATAGGAGGAACCACAAGAAAGTAGAAACAAAACAAAACAGAAGAAAACAAAGAGCAAATATTATGTTTCAATCCACATTCAAACTCCATAGTTCTTTCTCTGGATGTGGATAGCATTTTCCATTATGAGACTTTTGGAGATGTCTTAGATCCTTGCATTGCTGAGAAGAGCTAAGTCTATCAAAGTTAGTCATCACACAGTGTGGCTGTTGCTGTGTACCATGTTCTTCTGGTTCTGCTCATTTCACTCAGCATCAGTTCATATAAGTACAAGTTTTTCTGAAGTCTACTTGCTCATCATTTCTTATAACACAACAGTATTCCATTACATTCATATACCACAACTTGTTCAGCCATTCCCCAACCATTCCTTCAATTTCCAATTCTTTGCCACCATGTATAGAGCTGCTATAAATGCTTTTGTACACGTGGGTCCTTTTCCCATTTGTATGATCTCTTTGGGATACAACCCTGGAAGTGCTATTGCTGGATCAAAGGATATGTACATTTTTATAGCCCTTTGGGCATAGTTCCAAATTTAATTCAATTTTTCAACAACATGAAAAGTAAATAGGGTAAAAAAATGCCCCTAGTCATACAAAATAGATTATATGTTTTAAAAGAATTTTCTGATTTTAAACCTAGAGGTCAAAGAGAATTACATTTAAAATATAAGTATATATGCAAAGTGTATATATGTGTATTATATATATATGTGTATATATATATATATATGTATATATGTGTGTGTATATAATGTTTCTTTGGCCATAAAAATACTTGTGGTGACAGGCGTGTAAAACATTCACTAAGCACTTAATATTTGCCAAGAGATGTGGCTTCCATGCCCCTTCCTGGCTATTACATATTGTCTTCAACTATTGGAATGTAAATTCTTTGAGGTCATGGACTGTTTTTCTTGCTTATATTTGTATTCCCAACCTTTTGCACAATGTTCTTGACACATAGGAAACACATAATAAATGTTTTACTTACATCCCTGTTTTGGAAAACAAACAGCAGGGCCATACTACTTGCAGGCATTGTCACTACTTGTATACTTAAACAACACATATTATTCTCTCTTTTTCTATTCCATTTGGTTTATTTTAGTGCCCTGACCCATCCTGCAAGCAAGATTTATTGGCTTATCTGGAACAAATCAAATTCTATTCTCACCAGCTCAAAATATGCAGTCAAGTGAAAGCTGAAATCCAGAATTTGGGAGGAGAACTCATCATGTCTGCTGTAAGTATAAACTACTATTTTCTACTCAGAGTTTTATGGATTATAGGTTAACATTATCCCAGACTCCAACCTATTTGTTTTTGCTGTTGCCAATATCATCATCATCATCATCATCATCGCCATCAAAAACACATATATCTTAAGCCCTACTATGTGTCAGGCACTGTGATAAGCCCTGGAGATACATAAAGAAGCAACAGATAATCTCTGTCCTTAAGGAGCTCCCAATCTGATGGCAGAAACATGATATAGAAATACAAACATACTATATATAAGTAGGAAATAATTAAGAGATAAGGCATTAGAATTGAAAAGGGTTAGGAAAGACTTCCTGTTCTAAAAAAAACAGAATTTTAATTGAACACTACAGGAAGTGATTGAAGTCAGTAGACTGAGCTGAAGACATTGAACTTTTCCTGCACAGGTAATGCCCTAAGCCAAGAGGTGGAGTGTCTTATTTGTGGAACAACTAGGAAGCTAGTGTCACTGCGTCAAACTATAATATAGTGAGGAGTAGGGTATAAGAAGATTGGAAAATTAAGGCTGGGTTAGACTGTGAAGAGTTTTGAATAACAAACAGAGGATTATGTATTTGGACCCAGAGGTGATAAGGGATTCACTGAAGGCTTTTACTGAGTGTGGGATGGGGTGGGTGGGAAGGATAACTTAGTCATAGAAGCAACTTTAGGAAAATCACTTTGGTGGCAAAATGGAGGATGGATTAGACTGTGGAGAGACTTGAGGCAGACTCTCACTGGCTAGCAAATATCTAGAATGACTAGATAGGATTAATACTCCTTTATTAATGGCTTAGTACATAAAATCTCAGTTAAAAAGGTCTGAAAAGAAACTAAAACTCCACATTTCTTGTAAAAGAAATATGAGCAGGCATGACTTTTTTTTTTAATCAAAACTGATCATCTTTTAGAACCTTAGTCAGGCAACAACTGCATGACAATTGAACACTTGGATGGAGCATTGAATTATATGACTAATATCTGATTTAGAATGAATGCAGGTCGAATTTTCACAGCATTCATTTCCAAATCATTTAAAATGTCATAATTGTTAATAGATACCAATTCTTCTATTTCCCTTTTTATACCATGGAACTTTAGGCTATGGAGTATTGTTTCCACATTTGATTTTAGGCATCGCTCCTCATCTTCCTATCAGTAATAGGAGAGCAGGTTCTGGATTCAGATATGGCCATAAACTCGTATGTTCTATTTCAAGCAATACTTAGTTTCAATGACTTCAATGAAAATGAACCAAATTTGTCAATTACTTTCAGGAGTAAGAAACTTCTAAATTTACCTTAATATTTTCCTGTCATTACAAATACTGAGAGACAGAAGACAGAGACATATGGAGAGACACAGAGAGGAAAGCAGAGATGATTATATCCCTTTCAGTGCCTTGAAGTTTCTATCACATAGGAGTCGGGTGTTTGTGTTTTTTGTTAAAACTGGGCAAGTCCCTTAACCCTGTTTACCTCAGTTTCCTCATCTGTAAAATGAGCTGGAGAAGGAAATGGCAACCACTCTAGTATCTTCATGACCCTGTTTGGGATTTTCTTACTAAAGTGATTTGCCTTTTCCTTCTTCAAGGTCACATAGCTGATGCCAGATTTGAATTCATGAAGATGAGTCTTCCTGACTCCAGGTCTGGCACCATAGCCACTGTGCCATCTACCTGCCCCAGGTCGTTCCCTGATGCCAAAAAATCCTCCCCTCCCTTCCTGTTTCCTCAACTTCCTTAATGTGGGGGGTAATTATTAATAAAAGAAAAGAGAAAATATAAGAATGTGAGAAGAAAAAAAATTAAAGAATACAACAGAGGGGGTCATAACCTATTTCTTTATATTTATTTTTTGTTTCAGTCCCCTAATTGGGTGTCAGGGAACAAAGGTTCAAAGGTAAGGAGGCTATAAATAGGTAACCCCTATCTATATTATTAGATCAACTCTACTATTGCTGGTAGCCAGTGAGTGTAGTATTTGAAACCTGTGGGTGGGGGAGAGGGGGAGGAATGTATGCCAAAAATAATGAGTTAGGGAAGTAAAAAGGGTTTCTATTATAACCTAGCCATACAAATGCCAAAAGGACACTTTCAATTATTTAAAATCGACCTTATCTATTATGGTAAAAATTACCCTTTTCCCACAATGAATCATTTGGAGGTCAGCAGTTTTATTATGATATTCAAAAATGATTAATCACTTAATTGTCATATTTTGTGCATTTTACTTAATATCTTTCACTGTGTATTTTCACTAGGAGGCAGGTGTGCCAAAGCCACAATTTGTTAAATTGGATAAATAAATATGACTGATCAGTTGGGGGCGGGGGGAATCAGCAAAATAGAAAATCCACCAAGCAGCTGCAATCTTACTTAAAATTCAGCAGAAATCATGGATGGACTCAGGTACTTAGAAAATTGGCTAAATACAGACTCCCATAGCAGGTTAATGTACTTATCCATCTTAAGGCAGTTACAGGATTGAGAGAATGAACTTCCAAAGCATTCCATAATCATTTGGAGGAATCATTTGTCAAATGTCAGTCCTAGGGTAGAGCACCTTCATACACACACGCACACACACACACACACACACACACACACATTTAAACATACCAGCACTAACAATAACTTGCATTTCTATAACACTGTAAGTTTTGTAATGTACTTTACAGATATTGCATATTTGAACCTTGCCTTGTAATAGGTGCTATTACTTCTCACATTTTACAGAAGAAAAAAGTAAGGCAGAGATAGGTTATATGACTGGCCCATGGTTACACAACTAGTAAGTACCTGAAGTCATATTTGAACTCAGGTCTTTCTGACTCCATGTCTTGTATTTTAACCATCATGACATCACCCGTTCCCTCACACACCAGTGTTAGTAGAATGAAAATTACCCTAAATTATATCAGTAAAGAAACTTCTGGGAAAAAAATGCGGAACAATTATTTGGGTGTGTATGTATATATGTATGTATGCATGTACGTATATCAGTGTTTGTGATCAGATTATATAATTCTTGTCAATGAAATGTCTAGAGGAGAATGTTAACTCTCTTATTGAACTAATTTATCATATTCTTTGATATTTATGTAATGTCAAGGTAAATAATTATTCATTAATGTCTCTTTAACAAGAAAGTGACTTCTTTTAATCCATTGAAATCATATTAGAATTCTTCAAAGATATAATGAGAAATATTCATCAAAGTTAGCAAATGACAAAGTCGAATCGATAACCATCTGGGTACTAACAACAGTGACTCTAAAAAGAGTTGAGTCATGGTCGTCACAACTGTCATACTGTCATGTCATGTCATGGAGGGTGTACAATCCAGAGTCTGAATTGCTGAAGGATTCCATATAGGTGGTAAGGTCCTTTGAATGTTTCTGCTTGTAGATTTTCCAGTTCTTCTTACATAAAATTCTCAAATACAGAAGAGACTCCAAAATGAGATTTAACATGATTCAGCAGAGGTTAGTATTAATTTCCACATAGGAAGCAAAAAAAAATGTTGTTGAGTCATTTCACTCACATCTGACTCTTCATGACCTCTTTCGGGTTTTCTTGCCAAAGATACCGGAGTAGTTAGCCATTTCCTTCCCCAGTTCATTTTACAGATGAAGAAACTGAGGCAAATGGGGCTAAGTGACTTGCTCAGGGTCACACAGCTAGTAAGTGTCTGAGGCCATCTTTGAACTCATGAAGAGTTTAGAGTTCAAAGCAAAAAATAAAAAATGAATGAATGAATAAATAAAATAAATACATTCAAAACAAATAGACAAAAAAATGAATATCGTCCAAACTTGATTTGAAAATCTATAGAACTAATCAATCTATCTCAGTGTTTGTATGTGTTTGCATGCATCTCTTAGCTATCTGTCATCTATCCCTTCATCCATCTATTTATATAACATTTATCCATATTTTTATGGCAGCATACCTTGGAAAACAGAGACTATCTCAGAGTCAGAAAGACCTGTGTTCAATTTTCAACTCTTTCTCAAGCCAGCTATATGACTCTAGACAATTCACTTAACCTCTCCATGGTCTGGGCATCTCTGGAAGACTAAAATAATACATTATAGAGTAGGTGCCAAAAGGAATTGGCAAAAGATGTTCTTCACAGGGAGACGCCTAAACAAATGAAATCACTGGACTGTTTAAATTTCATTTTCTGTATCTTTTTCCAAAAAAAAAGAAAAAGATTTCACTCACTCTCTTCATACATCTCTTTCTGTTTACTCTAGACTGATTCTCTGATTCATGACTCCCATAGTCATCTGGTCTCTTTCTTTTCCACGAATTTCCCTTTTCCATTGTTCCTCAATCCTAGAATAATGTCAATTATTACAGACGTTGGAGAGGACGCTGCCCCATAATGGGGCCTCTGTCCCAACACCCCTCACATTTACCTTGAAATTTCCCTGTATCTATGTTTTCCCTCTTCTTTAGGTGCCAGTTGACCCGAAGCATTCCATCTCTTCCCCTCTGAGAATAAGTAGGTTTTTCAAGCTCTGATCCCCCATGCATCTTCATCCAGTAAAAGGTCCTCCCCTCCCTTCACTGGTCATCTCTTTTCACCTGTAAGAGTATTCATCAAAGGAACTCCCTTCACCTCCAAAGTAAGGCCTCCTTCCCTCATCCCCATTTCCATCTTTCCCACCTCATCCTTCCTTACTCTCCTAATAGTAGCTTCTCTTTCTGGGACCACAGAAATCCCCTTCCCTTTAGTTACGGCTTTTCATTTGACTCCTGCACATTGCACTCCTCCCTGGCCTCCTATTGGCTTCTCCCTTCATATGCTGTCCCATGTTATAATGTAGTCCCACAAAATAAGCACTGAGTCAACTGGAGGCGGGTTTTGCCAGGTTTTGTCCATAACCTCCCTTGTCTACTGCTTCACTGTTGCTTCTACCAAACTTCCAGCTTCAATTTTGTCTCCTTGTGTGCTTTTAAAATTTACTGCTCTC